GGTCTTACAGGATCCAGCAGGGGCGGAGGGACTGGCGGGCTGTTGGAAATGCCCAGCCGTCTTGGAGTTACAGTCCCTTGTACAGCAAGGGTGGTGTGTTTCAGGGAGCCAGGGAAATCCCAGCTGTGGGGCAGTCTCAGCTGTAACTCAGTGCTCAGGGCTGACACCATTGGTGTCTCTGGCGTTCTTTTCCAAACACTGCAACCACATAGGGGAAAGCCCCCTCACCAAACACTATTTTTGTTCTTGAATGTCTGACTAGTGTCCCCCATTAAGGCAATTTCTGGATGTTGTCTCCCCTCTGCCTCCCCGGGTCCTTGGGCTCGGGCAGCAGAGGACGGGATGGGGGATGCTTATTGCAGACCTCACATCCTCCAGACAAAACACACCAGCTGCCTTCAGCTTCCCTGGGGAATGTTCTGTTGCTACCTCATTGGGCCAGTGAAGCAGGGAAAAAGAATTTGGTGCCAGATAAGGCAACAGGGAAGCATGCAGGCGGGAAATCTGAATTTGACACACCACATCTAATAAGCCTGTGATTAGAGGCTCTTGGCAGAGCCAGGGAAATCGAATGCTGCTGGGAAGCAGGTCCTGGGAATAGTTTACAACTTAGCACCAGCCCCATTACACGTTCCCTTTCAAGTCACAGAGGATGTTGTGCAGGATAAGCTGAGTTTGCCCTTGAAATAGCATTCACGTGGATTTGCGTGAGAAAAAATGGGGCAGCGACTGCAAAATTAACAGCTAAGTCATTCAGTGGAGAAGTTAAGGCTCAAGGAAATTATAGGCTCATTGTTAAAGTTTTAATTATCCAAACAGCTGCCCCATCACATAGCTTAACTGTCGGGCAAGGAAGAGAGATCTGGGGGAGTCGGTTTAGAGGAACCTCCAAAATTAAGGAATTGCATTGCTAAATTTTGCACCCAGAAGGCACTCAAGTAGAAACAGAGCTGGTCAACAGTGCTGGACAGCATAGGCTCGGTGGATTTGGTATAACCAAGCCACACCTGTCAAATTCCTTATTGTCTGGTTCTGTCCGCAGAGCCGCAGGTTATAGAAAGGTAATATTAATAAGGGGATAGGTGTGCACACTTGAAATAATTGTGTTTATCTCGTGGACTTACCCAGACCAGCTCCTGCCTTTTCTGCTTATTGCCAGGGAAGCAGGCTGTTGTTGACCTCAGACCTGCTACCTGTATCCAACTCATGTCTCACTGGTGACCATTTCTCTCCCTGGGAGCTGGGATGGTTGTTGACACTCTGTCATATTCCTGATGGTATTAGGGCCCAGTGTGACCAATGTGACATTCGTTTGAATCAGTGCCCCTGCTAAAAACCAACACATGGGCACCAGGAGTGGCATACAGATTTCCAGACTGCGAATATTCCATTTATTTGCTAAGCTCTGGACAGATTACATAATTAATTTAGGAGACCCCTCAGTTTCTGCAGATTTCTATTCAAACATCCCCTTATCACAGAAGCCTTTCCTGGCCATCTGATGCAAAATAGCACTATCTTCTCCCCACGTGTCACCCTCCTCCCAGCACGTATCTCCACTTGAAATATATTTGTCCACTTATTTGTTCTCCCACTAAAGTGTACACTCCATGAGAGCGAGGGCTTTGACTTTTGTGTTTATTGTGCTATCTTTAGCACCTACAGCAGTGTGGGACCTGTAATATGTGTCCAATAGAAATTTGTGCAACAAATGCAAGAATACTAAGGGGCTTGCTGAAGTGGTATGCTGCCCGTCCATCCATAGAAGGGCCTCATTCCCAGGAGAAAGCAAAGTGCCCTTTATAGCTGCTTTCCAATTCTTAATTTCCTTGAGCAAACATTTATCCCCAAGCAAGCCCCTGGTACCAGGTGTTGAAGAGAGTAGTCCTGCTCTCCCAGGGTTTGCAGACTGGTGGAGGATGTAGACAAAGGATTGAAATTAAATCCATCCTTTAAGATCCAACTCTGGTATCAGCCCCTCCTGAGAGTCCTTCTTGAACACTCTTCTTCCCCAGAGCCAGGTTGGGGACCACTCAGACCGTTTCCCAGCATCGTGTGCAGAGCTTTCTCAGGGCCTGTATGCACAGCAGACAAATACTGTACCGTATGTTTCTGTTTCCCCTTAAGAGCAAGGGTTACCCCTTACTCACTGCTGAGTATAGTGTCTGACACGTAGAGCACTCAATAAGTATCAGTTATCCTTTCGTTACCACCGTTGCTCTGTGCATTCAGTCACCAGCATTTCTACAGCTGTGTATGTGTGTATTCTCAGTTTAAAAACTATATCTGTTCTTCTGAGGATATACAAGGCTTAGAAGCAGCTCTATATTATGTCCTATAATATTACATAATGCTGTATTCTATAATATTCCCCATTTCAGGCTCTCCTTGTGTTCTGGGGGATGCAGTGATCTCTGCAACTGGTATAAAATCTTTACAAAGAGTTCTTAGGGGACTCCTTGTGCCCCCAAATGCAAGATAAGGCCCTGATGTACTTTAACAATTATTTTCTACGTGTGGTTGTCAGGAAGTCCTCTGAGCCTGGAACACTTGTTTAATTCCCAGAAGGCTGAGGATGTCACAGGCATTTTCTCAATAAATACTTGTGGGTCCATGACATTTCGATGCTGCCACTTTGATGTGGCCGTTTTGATTCAGGGCTTCAGGGACATTTTGTCATGGCCCAAAAAAACAGGCCATTAAACATGCAGCAGTTTTGTGCAGCTGAGAAACGTGGCAGACAGGCCACACTGCTGGATCGCTGTGCACATTAACCTAATATTTGTGTGTTTTCACTTTGAGATGGCTGCCTTGATGCCTGACACTCATTACATCCTAGGGATCTTGCCAGAATGTTTGGTTTGAATACATGTTAGTCTCACTTAAATACTAACCATGTGCCAGAGTCTAGATTCAATGGCAGGAATAATTCAAATGAAGCAGGAGGCAGGGGATGACAGTCTCAAGGGGATCACAGAGTGAAGCCAAGGGCTGGCTAAGGGATACATTCACCGTTTCAGAACACATGCGACCTCCATTCTTTGTTGGCCGTTTCCTGGTTTAGAGTTTCAGATGACTGGCTGGATAAATGTTTAAAAATTTAAAAAGGTCTCAATGCAAACATAGAAATACGGTCTATCCCTGTTAAAAAGATTGTTTTGATCATTTCCCCCTGCTGTGTTGTCAAAGAACTTCTCTGGCTCTGTCACTTGGTGGTGGGAGGAAGCGGTGTTGTTGCTCGTGGTCAGATAGGCCCTCCCCGCCTGTAGTGAGCAGTTATGTCCTACTTGCCTTCTCGGACTGTCTGAATGATCATTAGCACACACATATGTCAGACAGTCAGAGCCTGCCCCAAAACTAACTAGATGAGTAGAAAATTAGGTCATTAAGGGGAGACTAAGAAGCTTATATTTTGACTAATATTTTTATCTGGGTATGCTACCAGACCATGCCACATTATGCCCAATTTTAAAGCATTTTGGTAGCAAGTATATGAAGTAGCCTGTTATGAAAAAGGAAGTAGTTGTAGATGAGTCCCTGGACTTAATTCTGAGCCTGGAAGCTAAGCGTGGTGTCTTGTTGGAGTGGTGGTGCAACTGGGTAGGTCCCCAGAGTTAAATGTCACCCTTGTCATGAACCTTACAAGTATTGTGTATCTCTTCTTCATGTTCCCTGGAGAAAGAAACTACCTGGGCCAGGCCACACCAGGCCCCTGCCATACGCTATCAGGTTTAATTCCCATAAGGTAGGCACCAAGTCCTTCTTTCCGCACACCACACAGCTAGCAAGCGTTGGAGTCAGGATCTGAAGCCTCAGTTCTCAGATTCTAAAGCCCATGCTATTTCCATTATAACCAGTGATTCCAAACCACTGTTCTTCCTGGTTCCAAAGGAAGGTTTCTCCAGTCTGTGGTGAGAATATCTGGGTAAGGCTAACACCCCACTATCTTGGAAGGCATTGTCATTTATTCAGAGACTGTGGCCTGTCTTTCCAAGTGTTAAAGATTTTTTTTCTTTTATCACATGATGGTGATTGCTAATGGCAGCTAATAAAACTGTCCTACATTGTCAAAATAAAAAATTGGCCTCCCTCTGTCAATCCCCAAGCTTCAGTTTGAAATCTTACTGGCCTGGGAATGACAAAGCTGGAAAAAGAGGCAGTATACTCATTACCCTGGCAGGGCTCTGTTGGCAGACTCTCGCATAGCTTGGGTTCACATGGGGTTGATCTGTGTGGGGGCTGGGCTGCATCCATGGATGAAGGTGATTACGTGCTTCTTAAAGCCATACTTCTTTGAGGCCGAGTAGCACGACTCTCGCACAGTTTAGCAGAGTCCTGATAATTCAAGTGACCTCTGGAAAACCACAGCGGATTGAATTTTTTTCTTTAAACTAGCTAAACCAGCTTTTCCAAAAGAGAGGTAAAACTTGGACTACCAGTATTTATGACTTTTCTGGATCCAGGATGGGGAAGGTGTGAGTTCAGAGGCATTTTAGTTGAGCATGACTTAGGCTGTGACTCTCCTGACCTTAGATTATTCAAAAGTCACCTTTTTGCTGTTGATACAAGAACAAAGAGCTCAGGTTTTAGACCCAGACATATCTGGGTTTGAATCTCCATTTCTTTTAGCTTTGTGACCCTGGGCAATTTACTTTCTGTACAACAGGGCAGGAACACTTGCCTCCGGGAAATACCGTGGTGGGCAACTCTTGGAAAAACCCTTCTACTGCCTGTGCTGTTCCTTTTCTTTACTGTGATGATCAAGATCAAAGGGATAGAAGCACCTGGCAGGCAGGTGTTCAGTGTGTCCTAGTGTCCTCCTATAGGTGAGCTGGAATTTGGGGTACCCCGAGTTGCCCTGGCTTTTATTTTCCTGCCCATGGTTGCAGGTTCCCAGCTGTGCCCAGGGGAGGCCTGTTTCGCCTCCTACTACTGAGCCCCTCAAATTGTGTGGGGGGGTGCCCAGCGAGCTCTAACTACTGCCTTCCCTTCTGTTTTAGTGCCAACAACATGCCCAAGCAGGTGGAAGTGCGCATGCACGACAGCCAGCTCGGCTCCGAGGAGCCCGGGCGCCGGCACCCGGGGCTGCGCCTGTGTGACAAGCTGAGGAGGAATCTCCTGCTCACACTGACTGTGATTGGTAGGTGCCCGCCGGCCCTCTTCTCTGGGCCTCTCCCGGCTCTGTGGGGAAGCTCGTTCGGGCAGCCAGCCGTCCTGCATGCTCTGCCTGAGGCCCGGTTGGCCCAGGCAGGGCTGCCTCAGTGGTGTAAGCTTCCCCTCCCTGCCCTCGCCATTTGTTTTCCTCCTCGGGTCTCGAATTTCAGCATGCACATAAATTTCCCCTGAGTGTGCCAGCATGCAGATGCCCAGGCCCTACTTGCTTTGGGCCATGTGGGACAAGGTCCTGGAGTCTGCATCTTAACAAACCTTCTAGGTGATTCCAAAGGAGGTGGTCAGCATACCACATTTAGGGAAATACTTGCACCAAGATAAAGGCAACAGTTGCCAAAAACCCTAGGAAGAGGGCTCTCAGGTCTAACCTTCTCCAGCACCTCATTAACTTAGACTAACTTAGCACATTAGCTGATGAGGTCAGTGTGGACGAGGCTTGTCCAGACGCCTTGATCTCTGCAGCTCCATCTTGCAAGTCTTACTTCCCTGCTTCAGGTCTCACCCAGGCCATGGTCATCCTTTTATGTGACTGAAAATGCAACCTTGGTCTTAGGTTTTAGCCAGGGTTTATTCAGAACAGGGGACGTGGCAGTTTCTCCTCATGACAACCGTACCATTTCCTTTCTGAATCCCCGCCTGTTCTGCAGCTTTCAGGCTACACACAGAAGCTGTGAACAACTCATCTCTTCTCCCCGCCCACGCACACACACCCTCCATTCCATGGCTTCTCCTTCGAGCCAGTCATCTTAGATGTCAGTGGTCTAGGGTCAGGACTGGGAGCTTGCCACAGCTCATTCACTTAATAAAAGGAAGCCACAGGCGTGGTAGGGTTTTCCAAGGGTTACCCTCCACATAAGCAAATTTCATTCATCATAGGTCTTGAAGGAGTATGTTTTTCATTTGTAGAAGGAAAAGGTCAGGCTTTCAGCCACATTACTCCCTTTGCATCCCTGGAATTAACACCATAGAGCCTGTATACCTAAGATCTCCCTCCCTCCCTCACAGCCAGTGGTGCTATGACCTGATTTGTGGTTTCCACAAGGGTGGTTTAGGTTGGCTGCCCATTTGGAGAGAACTGAAATTTGTCTTGTGGAATCCCTGAGTATGCAAAAGGAGAGACTCCTGCCAGCATCTCTGCCCAAATTGTTTCCTTTTATGTATTATGTATTTTTAGAGACCCTCCTTGATCTTCCATAAGATCAGCAAGTGTCAAGACTACGTAAGAGGACATAGAAGTCAAGGATGAAACATCTTGAGGGTGGGCCATGGGGAAACGATTGGAAGCCAAAGAAAATAGAAGAAAAAAGGCAATTCACACCAGCTTGGTCCATCAAATGTTCCTTTTATCTGGTATCCAGTTAAAGAGGGAGGAAATACATTAAACACCATGCCATGTGGCCAGGCCTAGGCTGGGAGGGGAAGCAATATCTGGCACTGCGGATTATTTCTACCGACAATCTCTGACTCTACCAGTGGACAATATCCTCAAAGAACTTGGAGTCAAGTCTCCACGTCCTATTTCCCATAGAGCATTGAGAAGACTCTCCTTGCCTCTACTAGTGCTGCCTTTTAGAATAGTTGGAGGTACAAAATATTCTCCCACTAGTAGCCAAAATCAACTTCACTTACCTAGTAGTAGTTTTGTTATGTGTTGTTCATCATCTGATAATGGAGAAGTATAAGAAAGATCAATGTCACTGAAACAAGACCCTAGAGCTATTTATTTAACTAGGCAAAAAATAAATTCAGATTCTTTTCCCCCCTTCCTTCTAGGTGTCATCCTGGGGGCAGTATGTGGTGGGCTTCTTCGCCTGGCATCTCCTATCCACCCCGATGTGGTTATGTTAATAGCCTTCCCAGGGGATATACTCATGAGGATGCTAAAAATGCTCATTCTCCCTCTAATCATCTCCAGTTTAATCACAGGTAAGGCCACCTCTCTGGTGCCTGGCCAAAGGCGGTCCTACCCCTGCTCCGGCTTTTGGATTGACCATGGAATCTCAATTTGGTTGAATGAATGAATGTGATTGTCTGTGACATTTCACTTCAGAGCCTTGGTTTTTCTGTCTCTAAAATAGGGGTAATCAACCCTAAAAAAAAAGTTTGTCATCTATTGGCCAGTCTATCTGTCTGTCTAGCAACAAAAGATGAAAAGGAAACAGCCACATGTTAAAAGTGATGATAGCTGCAGTGATTTTCATTTTTAATGTATACTTTTCTCATTTCCTAAATTATATTTGGTTCAGAAAGTGATAAATGAGGGTAATAAATAGAAAAGGAAATTTTCTCTTTACTGTTTAATTGGGTGTAGAGGGAAGTGGGTAGTAAAAATAAATGAAATACTAGATATGAAACCCTTTGAGTTTTTCAGAAGAAAGGCACCCTTAATGTGTAGATCATCTTCATTTGTTTTTGGCTGAAAAAATTGTTTTATTTGAAAGGATTATTTTTCCTTCCATGGGCTTATACTAGTAGTTTCCTCCTTACCAAATAATATTGCTCAAACAGGGTGTAAATTGGTGTAGTTTAGAGACAAACTCTGAGTCAAGAATGAGAGGCTGGGCTTTGGTTTATATTTGGGTGCCAATAAGCTGAGTGACCTTGAGAAAGTTGTCCTTCTGGACTGTCCACCTTATGAAGAAAGTGAGGCTCTGGTGACTCCAGGAGATCCAGATGCTGAGCCAGGTTGTTCTACAGTCTCATAGATGGTCGACCAGTGAACCCAGTGACCAAAGCACTGGGACTCCGTGTCAGGAAGGTCTTATCATTCAGCCCCAGATTGAGTGAAGCTGTGTATTCACCGTAAATGCTTCTTTCCAAACCAGAGGAAATCTTCTCTGTGCCTATTGAACAGATGCTACCTTGGCCAACCTGGTAAGGAGACCCACCTTCCACTGGCTGGAATCAGACTTTAGGTTGTAAGGAGAAGTGGGTCATATATGGGTCAGCTTCAGAAAAGTTAACATCAATGACTTCCTCCCTCATGGCACAAAAGACCGATCCCCAGAAAGGGGTGCAATCGCTCTGTCTAGTAAAAGCAAGAACTGAAACCAGGAAGTAGAAAAATTGAAGAAACAATTGGAAAAAAACCCAATGAAGGTTGGAGTTTTTGTGACTTGCTTGGAATTTCCTCCAACAATCACAGAGCCTCCCTCGGTGTGATGAAGCCCGAGCCTCTGCTGGGTGCTTTGTGCAGGTGTTCTCTAATCCCTGCATGAGGTCGGGACATGTGGGTCTCCATCACATTTCACCTCAGGGGAATGAGAGGGCTGTGCTAGGTCACTCTTCCCGACTCTCAGTTTCAATGACCAGTGATGTATTCAAAAGACATTTTGAATACAAAGGGCTAAGCTTTTTATTTTCCCAAGTGAGGACATTAAAACAAAATAATAAGGAAAGAACTAGCATGTACCAGCACCTTCACTTCATAAAGAAAAGATATCTTAACCCCAAATAAGTGGGATGGACATAACCTCAGAATTAAAAATTGAATATATTCAACTTTATTTGAGCTCACTCTTGCAGACTGACAAAAGTAGCACCCACCAGTTTATAAATGCTGAGCCAGGTGATCTCCATCTCTCCCCAGTTCTCTAGAATCTCAAAAACGTCTTGAAAAATAGAATTGTAAATGGTGAGATTGACCAAATATTCCATAGAAGGAGGTTTAATTAACCATTAATGCATTTGAGTCTAATAGGAAGTCAAGTTATAGGTATTCAGAGATAGGAGTGAACCGAAACATCACAGCCATTAATCCTTCTGGATTTCTTTTCAACCCAGGGTTGTCGGGCCTGGATGCTAAAGCCAGTGGGCGCTTAGGCACGAGAGCCATGGTGTATTATATGTCCACGACCATCATCGCCGCGGTGCTGGGGGTCATCCTGGTCTTGGCTATCCACCCAGGGAACCCCAAACTCAAGAAGCAGTTGGGGCCTGGGAAGAAGAACGATGAGGTGTCCAGCCTGGATGCCTTCCTGGACCTTATTCGAAATCTCTTCCCTGAAAACCTGGTCCAAGCCTGCTTTCAACAGGTAACCCAGAGTGCTGATGTTCCTTCTTCTCCAACTGCCTAAGTTATCAAAGTGATAACTTAGAGACGGTTTCAATGAGCCAGCTCTAGGGAGCAATTTCTTTAATATTTGGTTACCTCTGTCTAGGGGTTGTATGAGGTGATCTGGGCAGGATGTTGGGATTGGAGTTGTGTGGTTTTTTAAAAATCTTCCCTTTTTCTTTCAATTCACTTAATATCTCTTTGCTCTGGGGTCCTTCCTCTGTCTTATTTCTTTTGTCTCTTCCCTTCTTTTTAGTTCCTGTCTCTGTGTTGTCCAAGGGCATATTTTTATCACTTTTGCCCACAACCCTCTAGAATACCCAGTGGTTCTCCATCTCAGCAGTATAGCAAAACCACACATGGTGTGTTTAAGAAATACACACATCCTACAGAATTAGGATCACCAGGGTGGGCCCGGGGATTGGGTATTTTTCAAATTGTGAAAGTAATACATGAGGATTATGGAAAGTTTAAATAGTACAGATTCACATCAAGTAAAAATTCAAATCCCCACTTCCCTTCCTTTGAGCTACTTGTGCTGAGAATTTTGTTTCCTCCCATCTCCCATCTATTTTCTTTGCCACATACGCCTGTGTATATGTGCGTAATCTTTGAAAGAATTCAGCCCAAGCGATACTGCATGGTATACACCATGTCACATCTTGCTTTTTCATCTAAGCGTGTTTTAGTGTCATCTCTCTCTCTCTGTCTCTTTTCTTTTTTCGTGATTGTGTAGTATTTCTAAAGGATACATTCTTAGAAGCTAAAATATGCTGCCAAAGAGTTTTATATTTTGAATCGGCTGGATGTTGCCAAGTGGCCGTACAAAAGCTTGTAGCAATGTATGCTCCTACCAACTGTGTAGGGGCATATTTTAAAACCTTGTGATTTTCAAAAACAGATAATTCTGCTGAGTGGAACCACTGAGACAGCTGCCGAGGCCCCACTCACTAGCCTGTTGTCCAGCCCCAAGGCCAGTTTAGGTTAGAATCCACCTCAGTTCCCATTACCCCACGTGGGAACTAAACTGGAACCAAGGAGCTTCCTCTAGCCATTTCCAGGGAATTACAGAAGAGTGAGCTCAGGAAACAGGTTGCTTAAAGGAAAAGTCCTGTACTCCTAGCTGCCCCCCAAACGCAGCTACCAACCACTGCTGAGCCCAAATTACTCTGGGTTGGGGTACATTCTCTGATTTCCAGTGCCACTTTGGTGAACTTGTGGTGTGGAGCTGTATTAAAGGAAGCCAAGAGAGTGGCACGATATATTTAAAGTGCTAAAAGGAAAAAACTTACAGCCAAGAATACTCTACCCAGCAAGGTTATCATTCAAAATGGAAAGAG